ATCGGAGAGATACCTCCCAAAATTTCTCAAAACCCTAAAATATCAGACCATCGCTGGGTCTCTGGACCGGAACCATCGCCCTCATGTGTAAAAAGCCCGTTCCAACTCCTGAAACGTGGCCGCTCTGCACTCCTGAGTCCCGAGGTGATGGGGAGACACCACGACTTCTGTCGAACCTGGGATGTCGATGAAACTGAAGGCAAATCCCCCTCAGATGACCCACCCAGAGAACTCGCCGCCCACCGGCAGCGGAGGGGGTGGTTGGGGCAATTGCCAGCCGCATGTCCTCGCGAAAACCTCAGCGCTTGAACATGGGCGACGAGGCCGGGTGGGAGACGGCACCGCAGATCTTCCTATCGATGACGTGGCGTATGTGACTTTGCGTAATAGCCGTTTCCTCCGGCGTTGTTCAAGGAAGAGGTGTTGCGGTCGGTGCCCTGGGAGCCGTGCAATAACTCTGGCCTTGCCACAAAAAAAACTAACTTTTTTCTTTATTTTACCAAGTAAGGCCCCCACTGAGCTACGTAGCTCTTTTTCAGAAGTGATTTAGCTATCACAAATTATAGCTCAACAATGTAGCGTATCACGTGGAAATTTATAGCAGCCAAATACCCTAAGTGCATGTTGATTCTAAATGTGGAGGGGAAAAACCGGAGGACCCGGAGAAAACTCCACAAGACCACGGGGAGAAAGACACCGCAAACTCCATATATCCAGCAGGCATCAGGGTTGGGATCGAACCCACGACCGACTGTATACCGGGTGAGGTAGTACACATCTCGCCACTGTGGCACTCCAAGAACGTCGAAGCTGACCTTCATTTGAGCTCCACAACACTCTCCGTGCCCTCTGCATAAACAGAGATTGAAAAATCATCTTTTTAGAACCAATTTTTGCATTCAGTTTGTTCTCCCTTCCCCCCGCGGCCTACGATTAGCACGGTTGGCTACGAAAGTTTCGAAAGAAGTTCAACATACACACATACGTACGTATGGATGGACGACGGCTTCCAAGCAGAGCCGTCTAATCCCCCTCGGGTACCGCCACCAGCATGCTCTTCCTTAGAGCTTCTCTGTCACAAGATCCGGCTACACATGACTGACCCCACTACCACCGCACGGCTTGAGGATGCCATCACGTTGACCCCTACATGTCGAGACGGCGCACAGTGCCTGACGAGAGATCCGTAAAGTCCTGCTACGTCTCCTTAGGAGTCTCATCCGGAAGATAAAAGCGATGGAACAGAGAGTGGAGGAGTTTGCTTCAGGAGATCCTCGAATATCCCTCCCTTCACCCCCCCCCCCAGCTGCTGCTGCTGCTGCTGTGTGAACCTTCTTGGCTCCCGATACGGACATCTCTGTAGCACACCGGGAATCTCCCAACTGTCTGCCTGGGGACGAAAAGCTCTTGAAGGGCAGCGTTCTTATGAGCGTGGGCCTCTTCCACTTGACCGAACCGTGAAGAACGCCAGCTTCCTCATCCGTTGCGGGTCCCCGGGAATGACCAAAACCTGTAAGCGAGACGCAGTCCCTCATGCACACGCCCGTGGAATCCAGGTGCAATGTACGTTCGGGGAGGAGTAAAACTGAAACCCGTCTTTTCGTTACGCATAAAGGTCACTTCCGGCCGTTTGGACAGATCCATCCAGACCTGAAAAAAATAGATCTGCGTGTGGTCTTGGCGTCCGTGCTCCTCTGTTCGTAACGCGCCAGGCGCTTTTATTTGTTAAGGACGCACGCAAGTGCGCGCGTTGTGATTGTGGAGACTACCCACACGGGACACTTGCTCTCATCGATTATCTGGGGTGAGTTCTGTTAAGAAAAGCACCTTTGTAATGGTGGCACAGCACAAGACGGGGGGGGGGGGGGGGGGGGGAAGTGTCGAGGGGTCCAACACCTCGCCATCCTTGCTCGTGTTGACACATGGTGCGACTTATAACTCGCGCCAGGCTGGGTAAACCTACCTAAAGCCTCGAGCAAGGTTTCACAAATCAAAATGACCAAATACCCAAACAACAAGAAATCTGGGTCACCAGGATCGTAGCAGAGTGTACTAAATCAAACCAACAAAGACAAAGACCCACCCCCCCCCCACCCCGTATAGCCTTAACAGACTGTAGGGGCAAGTGCTGTTAACGAGTACCTATGAAGGCCGACACCGTCGCAGACGACGGGGTGGGCGGCCAGCACCATGCCCGGCCGCCTTTGTCTCCCCAGTGGCGATGTTTACACACGGCACCAGGTACTCATTTGAGGCCGAGACGACCTCGAGGAGGAGGCCCGGCACCGGTTCAGATAATTGCCTCTGATGTTGGCCATGAGCGGGAATCGAACCCGGGTTGCCGGGTTCACGTAGCGCACGTGCACTAACCGCTACACTACAGCTCACACACCTTTCCCTTTTTCGCACGTTTCCCCCTTTGAATAGAAGCAGCCTTTTATTGTAACACAATTGAAATTATTATTATTATAGCTGTTGTTTTGTTTATCTTGGTAATGTCAACGAAGCCAGCTATCCTGTCATTGTTGCTCAGCAGCGGGGTTTTTTTTTTTTTTGCGCAGTCAGAGTCAACATTTGGGCCGCAACTTCAGCGGCGGCTTGAGGACAGGTAAGGGAGACTGGCGTAATGGCCGTGCGTGCGTGTGCGAACCCATGCGTGTGTGTGTGCATACCCGTGCGTGCGCACGTACCCGTGCGTGTGTGTGTGCATACCCGTGCGTGCGCATGCGTACCCGTGCGTGCGTGGCGTGCGCGCGTCACGTCTCCGAAGCAAACCTCTGGCGAGGGATACTCTCAAGAGCGCAGTAAAAATATTATTTCTGGCTTCATTCCCGAAGCGCACGGTCGCGGGCCAAGGACTGCAGGGGCATGAGAATCGACGGCGGCGGCGGCTAATTGAATTGGCCCATGCGACGTTGCGTCTGGAATGCCCCGGCACGCCAGAGGGCCGCGAGCGCCCGACACGCGTCCCTTTGGTGGTGGTACCCGAGAACCGTGGGGGGAGGGAGGGGGGGGGGACAATGACAGACTGAGCGCCGTCACAAAGCAGACGCGTGATTGGCCCCCTGCCATCAGGGGGAAGTGGCTCTGCTCCGAGTAATTTTGGACAACAATTTGAAGGGGGAAAAAAAAATATCACTCATTGTATTTACCTCCGGGAAAAAAATCCATTACAAAAAGGGGGAACCAGCTTCGTTGTTGATGCCCCGATGATAGCCCGAAATTCCCAATCGCGCCCCCATCACAACCCTTGCCTCGTCAGGCCCACTACCACCCTCTCCGTCCACCACAAAACCGTAATTCGTTTTCTCCTGCATACACTCAGGGACCCCCCCCGTCCAGCCTCCGTTAATCATCCGTTCAGCACGCCGAGCCTCGGGTCCTGTCCCTGTAGCTCAATAATCCATCAGCTCAGCACAAAGGCTGTGTGTGTGTGTGTGTAGCTACAACTAAAGCCACAGCCCCAGCCCAGAGACCCCATTTATTCGGACGTTTATACACGAGCCTGACCAATGCGAGTTCACTCCGTTTCAAGTTGGAAAAGGCTGCGTTAAAAAAAGATAACAAAAACACTTTGACATCCGTACCACACATGCTGGACTGCACATTTGACCACTTTCCCAGCAGAATTGCAACAGTCGCGATCTGGTAATACCATACCCTGCCACACAAACCCATCGCGCGCTAACATCCAGCGGTGTGCGACATCAACAAACAAGACATTGCGACAAGTTTATGGGTAGACTGATCCGAGGCGACCCTCCTAGCCTATCAATGAAGCCTGCATTAAGTACACCGCGGTGACGAGATGTTAACTCCCTCGCCTGGTATGCAGCAAGTTGTGGGTTCACTCCCAACGCATGCTGTATATTTGGAGTTTGCGTGTTCTCCCCCCATAGTCGTGTGTATTTTTCTCTGAGTCCTCCGGTTTTTCCCTCCACATTTAAAATCTACATCATGAGTTTCAAGTATTTGGCTGCTATAAATTTCCACATAATAGGCCACTTGAGCTATCATTTGAGATAGCCAGGTCGATTCTGAAAAAAGCTACATGGCCCTTACCTGGTAAAACAAAAAACGCCCCCGTTGTAATAAGAATCTCAAGCCAATATACAGGGAATCACTATTATCATATCAAACATGAAATATCATAGAGACTCGCCGCAGTGACCGAGCACGCAACAGTCAAAGAAATAAATGAAATTTGACCAAATATGAAAACCAAAACAACCAGCCGGATATATAATCCTATATCCCACAAGGTGTAAATAATAGCAATAAATTAATGAGGAACGCCTGCTGCGATAAGTGGACCATGTTACTGAGCACTAAAGGGAGATGCCATGGTGTCGTGGGTAGCACAGTGGACGAGCACTCGGGAGGTCACCAGTGCGGTTGGATCCTCCAGGGCGGTAGTCCCCCCCACCCCTCAACTGTGTCTGTCCACCCAGCAGTACGAGGGTGGGTTCACTGCAGTCGGCCAAAGGGGTAGGTCGCACGTGGTGGGGTAGAGGTGTGGGTTAATCTCACCTCTTCCCGAATGGCTGGCCAGTTTGGAAGAGTAGACCAAATATCCCTTTAGAGGAGCTCCCCAGAGTTCGCTACTGTAGAGGCACCTTCTTCGTGATCAAATATTTTTGGGTTGGATAGCGTAAATATAAATGTGCCGTTAAAACCCGCAACCACCCAACCTTGCTAATTAGTAAGGTTTGTCACGTAATAGAAAACGTGCCAATTAGTTACTTCAGCATATCAGTGTGTTGTAGAGTAAACTCAATACTAATTACTGCCCTCCCCTTACCCCCCTACGAGCAGACTAATGCCCCAGATCACTCTTGCATATGAGACTCATCCTGGTCTCTTGTGTTCTCGCCACTTGGTCAAACAAACAAAAAACAGGTTTTTTTTCCCGATTATTATTTTTTTTGCTCCGGGCTCCAGCAGTTTAAACACGACCGCGGCCCGGCCACCCAGGGTGGAGAAGCAGCACGGGGCGGTACCTGGTGGTATTTCTTGAGAATGTTGTGCATCTCGGCCACGTCCTCGCTCACGATCGTCTTGATGACGAACTTGCGATCGTAGGTGGTGAGGAAGCGGGCGCTGCTCCGGCCTTGCGCGTCAATGCACACGGGCGCGCTCCGAATCACCGAATTCTGAAACATCGTTGCACAAACACGGGGGGGGAGGGGGAGGGGGACGGTGCAACATATTTACTACGTGCAACTATTTACCCACGTGGACAACTTCGACGCACCACCTCAAAAAATGTTTTCTAAAGGCAGAGAGAGAGGCACAACGAGGCAAACTTCTCCCAACGTATGTATGTCTCCTGAACTTCTTTTGCGCCGTACATAGCCAACCGCGCCAAGCGGAGGATGGGTGTGGTGTGTGGGTGAGTGAATAATGTGAGCGGGTTGAATAACCATGCGAGTATATGTATGTATGTATGCCTGTTGAACTTCTTTCGTACCGTACTATAGCCAACCGCGCTCATCGGAGGTGCGGGTAAGTGCATCGCTCGTTCATATTGTCCGTGCACAAGTTTAAAAAGGGCATCTGAACCCCTTCACCAAGCCCTGTCGCGCCAATCTCGGGCTTTTGTTTGCAGAATTTCTGCACCCTCCCCCTCCTCCTCTTCTTGTTCTGTGATCGGTGCTCTGGTACCGGGCTTGCATTGAGTTGAAATAAACAATTTTTAAATACAAGAGCATCTGAAACAAGTGGGCACAGCACCCACGCGCGCACACGCGTACACACGAAATAAAGACAAAGATCCCTTGTATAGGCTTAACAGACTGTTGGGGCAAGTGCTGTTCACGAGGACCTACGAAGGCCGGCACAGCACAGAGGGGGGTGGGTGGCCATGACCACGCACGGCCGCCTTTGTCTTCCCAGTGGCGATGTTTACACACACCGCACCAGGTACTTATTTGGCCGTGAGCGAGAATCGAACTCGGGTCACAGCTGGGTTCGTAGCGCAGTACTCTAACCGCTACACTACCACTCACCACACACACACACGTGTATATGCAGATGCTCGCAAGCGCTGACCAGCAGCGTGTACGTGCACACACCTGGATCGGGCCGGAAGCAACGCTGCAGGCCACAACACAATTCCCTCTCTGCTCCTTCACACTCGCCCGCTCTGCTTTGGATTCCGCCCCTAACTATAGTCTCTTCTCCCCAAGCCCTGACAATAATAACAACCTCTGCTCAATTCAAGAAACGTGTTACAATTCTGATCTAATCCAACGTTGACACCGGTTGCTGTTTCGTTGCTGGCCACTCAACGTTTTCAGCCTTTGGGCCTACTGTGCTCTGCAACCGTGCGAACAAAACAAAAAAATTGGTGAAAATGTCCTCAGGCTTAGAACGCGCACAGGAAGCCAACGTAGATTGCCAAGACGACAGAGGCAAATAGCACGTTAGCCACCGTGGAGTTTCTCCCATAGGGGGACATTTATATACTCTTTGGTTCTATTCGGTAAAGTCACGTAGGTAAAAAATAAACAAAAATCACGACGTTTCGGCCACAACACAAGTGGCCTTCATCAGGTGAAGGGACCAACCTGTCCAGATGACAGCATTGGAGGCTGTCCTCTGGACAGTACGGTTCCTTCACCTGATGAAGGCCACTTGTGTTGTGGTCAAAACGTCGTGATTTTGTTTTATTTTTTACCTACGTGACTTTACCGAATACATCCAAAGAGTATGGATCCTTGCAGTCACGAAAGCTTCAAATCTAGGACATTTATATATTCGGTCAAATTACATAAAACAAAACTATTTTAAATGTCTCGCTCTTTTTCAGAAGCAACCTGGCCAGGAATGATAGTTCAACGAAGTGGCTTGTCATCACGTGTAAATTTATAGCAGCCAAATACTCTGATCGTGTGATGTTGATTCTAAATGTGGAGGGAAAAATCAGAGGACCCGGAGAAAAATCCACGCGACCACGGGGAGAGAGAGATGCAAACTCCAAATATCCAGCAGGCGTCAGGGTTTGGGATTGAACTCACGACCCTCCTGTATACCAGGCGAGGGAGTTAACATCTTACCAACGTAGCTCTCGATCACAATCATATTGGCCCACACAGTACCTTCAAATATATGGTATGTATGAAATGGAACCTATAAAAAAAGTTCTAGTTGTGACATGTAAAAACTAAAATCTCTTACCGCCTAGATTTTTACTGCTCTCCCTATCATTGCTCATTTGATCAGGAACACGTTTCATATCCCAAATTAGTTTATTTTAGAGCCTGCTTTTGCACGTATATTTCATAGTGTCTTGAGACCATTTGTAAATCCACTGTTGTTGGATGAAGGCCCTCCATATGCCATGTCGGTAATTGTGGTAGTTTGACCATACTTCACCACGTTAGGCAATGTAGGGTTATGATAATTCGGGGACGCCGGAAGGGTTTAGATTTCACGAGTGACGGATATTAGCTGTAGTTGGGAATAAAACTCATCTAACTGGTTTCAGAGCTCAGTGCACTAACCACTGTGCCACTGGCTCACCGCTGTGCCTTGCCTATTCAGTGTGTTGTCATTTCTGCAGGCTTTGACATCTATTTATGGTGGCTGCTATCGCTGTGTTAGAGCATGCTCCCTCCTTGTAATCTGAACGTTTATAGAGGCAAACTAAAATCTGTGGCCAACTCAGCCCATCAAAATTGCCCACGAATAACGCTGTGCGGGAAAGTCAACCGCAGTTCTCCTACCGACAAGACTGCCTCCCACCATAGAAATGCGGAATTTCCACCACTCGCTCAGGGCTGTCAATGGTCATGAGCACCACCCACCCCTTCCCCCCATGTGAACTGCTTTTTGTGTTTAGTTCGTTGGCCTTACCCCCGCACCTCTGATCAGCATGGTTGGCCACGCACGGTGCGAAATAAGTTCAACATACATTCGTAGAGCAAAGAGGCAAAGCCGTACCAGTCCTCCCGAAGCAGGGATTGGACTATTCAGTTATTGCAAATGGCAGCAATAGGTGCAGGAGCTGAATGCAATAGAGAGAGGTCTGCTAGCCACGAGAGGGCTTCAAGTGGGGAGACCATCTGCCCATCTTGTTTTGTGTACGTTATTGCACCGAGAGCTGCAATTGCATTAGATATACATATTTTAAAAGGAGACCTATAAACACACTATTTATATCCCCCATCCCTTCTGATATGCTTGAGTTGAAGTAAAAAGCTTACTATCCTAGTTACAATCTCGCAATGTCTTAAGTTAAGCCAGGCATAAGATTTGTGTAAGCTTAGAACAAACATGCTCACGCACGCGTGAATAAATTTGTATATATAAATATAATGAAGAAACGAGTTAAGTATTTGAGTGACTGAGAAAGTAAACACATTTCTCCGTTATTTACCACATCTTTTCAGCTAAGTGCTTTTCCTAATGCGGCCGTGCACCCTCGCTGAGGAAAAAAAAATGTTCCACATCCCTTGCAGCCAATTGTCAAAGTGGTCGGAAAACACACAGCAGGACCTGTCACGTGCCAAGCCCTCTAGAAGTGGAGAAAGCATAAAGATGACAAATAACTCTTGAGTCCTCTCCGCGAGCCCGGTGCCCACGTTCAAACTACCAGCTCCGTTTCTTTTTTTCTATTTGGGAGACTCTTTTCTCTGCAGCGAGTCGGTGCTGTAGAGCACCACGGTGGCTGGGAGATGTTAACTCCTTCGCCTGGTAAGCAGGAGGTCATGGGTTCGATCCCGACCCTAACGCTTCAAAGCGTTAACCTCATTGTCACGGCCACGCTGTGCCGAGGGAACGAACTGAATCACTTCTTAGTCAGGCCTAAATAACAAGTGATTAAAATGATGTATGTTGAACTTCTTTCACGACGTACTTGACCAACCGTGTTCATCGGATGTGCCGATTTCGCTATTTAAAATTTCTGGCTTTAGAAGCGATGCCGGGACGTGAAAGTGCTGGCCCTGCAAGATCGCCCACCACCCACCCTAACCGGATAACCTTCAAGTCCTCTTCTGGACCTGGATATTACTTTGAGTGAGATGTACGTACACGAGTGGTCCTTTTTAAAGCACACTTGGGTGCTTAAACAACATAAGTGCTACGACTGCCTTCATCAGCACTGGATCCACAGTAGCCACGCGGATAACATCAACACACCCTCAGAGGCCACCTCCAAGAGCTGCTAAGGGGGACACATCTGCCATGGTCCACTACTTTTGCGCACGGAGAAAAGTTGCCCTCGTAGAGTGCGACATCCGCCGATGCGCTGTAAGATGCAAAGACGAAGCTGTACGTTTGACCTGGGTCAATTGCAGCAGATTCCCTCCCGTGTGCCGTTTAAACACCAGACAATAGTAATAGACTTTCGGTCCCAAAGAAAACTCTAACTTGGATTTGAAAAAATAAACTATAATAAACTTCATCTATATCGCATGCGTTTAGTCTTAAGTGTACTTTGTTTAACCGTGTTGTGAACGAGCTCAATAGACCATCTAATTTGCAAGAGTGACCTGGGGTATTAATCTGCCAAGAAGGGAGTGGGGGGGGGGTGATGATTGCTGCTGCTGTGCATAATCCCAATTGAATAATCTGCTGTGTCAATGTTCAAATCTGGCCTGGCGCATGCCACTCCATTTTGTGCGCACTCACATTGGATGGGCTGCACGCTCCATCCACTCCACCGCACGGCTCATCGAGCAATGCATAGCTGACTGTTCGATATTTTTTTTTATTTAAAGCTTCCGTGACTGCAGGGATTCAAATTCTTGGTTCTCTCGGTAAAGTCACGTAGAAGGGAAACAATAAAATAAAAAAAATATAAAACAATAAAATTCTTATTATTTTATTGTTTCCCTTCTACGTGACTTTACCGTAAGAACCAAGAATATGACTGTTGGATAGTCAAAGTTTAGTGTGCAATGTAATTAAGGGACTTGCGTGCTGTTGTCTTGACGTGTGTGGTCTGGGACTGTTGTTGTTGTTTTGCTGCCGCGCCCCAAGCTTGCATTCAGCGTTGAAAAACCGGCGGGAAATTTCGAACTTGCGCAATTTGTACTCATCACAAAAACTTAAATTATTTTTACTTTTTTTTTGTTACATGCTTACTTTGTCCCTCCACTGCACTCCTATCGTGTTTTTGTATTGTTTTTGTTGTTGTAACCTGCTGACCCCCCGTGCCCCATGCTGGACGTCTGTGCAAAAGAGTTTCGTAGCTCATCGGATGCCTCCTGCACAGTCTAAATAAAGACGCCGATTCTGACTGTCACACAAGGCAATCTGTATGTGTAACAGCTAAGGCTGGCTTGACACATAGGCTTTTCACGACCAATATTATTCATAATAAACGTTTTGTTGGGTTAGTTGGCGTAAATATAAATGTGTCAATTAGTTACTAGCTCAGCCTACCGGTGTGGAGAGTAAACCCACAGCATTTATAATTTGAGTACCCAAAGCTGTCCAGGTTCAAAGGTGTATGACACGACAAAACAAAACGCCAAATCAATGTGCTTCCATCTATATTCCAGAGCATCTTTAATAACCTGAGGCACAGCACCATCGCTGCCCTGTCCACTCCATGTAGCTCAGTGGGCATTACCTGGTAAAATAAAAAATAGTTTAAAGTTTTAGTTATGAAAATACGCACAATTTGTTCAATGGCTTTTGGCTAGCCATCGAACAAAGACGGTCACTGTGTCGCGTGCTTTCGGATGCGCTTCTGTGGCCGTCTGGAATGCTCTTCCTTCAGATATCAGGATGCCATTGGGAGCTATGCACTTTTTTAAAATTATCATCTAGATCGGAAACTAATTTATTTGCAACGGCTTTTTGTTCTTAGCTTGTTGTCCTTCCCCCCGCAACTCCCAATTCGCACGGTTGGCTACGTACGGTGCGAAAGAAGTTCAACATACAGTACGTACAAACATACGTCACTCAAACCCGGACAGGACTCAAACTGGTACCCGCCGGGGTAATCACGGCCTCGGTGCGGCCACGAAGCTGCAACTGGAGGGGCCACTCGGTTGCCGTATTATTTTTACAATTCGCACGTCTCGTTGAAATGCAGCCATGCATGCCGTGCCAGTGCATTTGCGCAAGCCATCCCCACACTTTGACCGTGGAGCCAAATCATTTAGAGTGAGGGCAGTTTTAGTTTTTTATCCGTTTCTGTTGCTTTCTTCTTCCGAGCGTCGCGCATGCGCGTGAACGAGGCGAGGTCCTGCTGCCAGGCTGCTCTGCGGACGTCTGCACCCGCACCCGAGCCAACGGTAAAAATTACTGACGTATGTAGGTATTTATGTATGCAAGCTGAAATTATTTTGCACCGTGCATAGCCAACTGTGATCACTGGAGGTGTGGGGGAAGGAGACCAACAACAATCTAAACATAACAAGCAGTCTTAAAGAGATACGTTTTCAATACTAGATTTAAAAGTGCATAGCTCCAATGACTTCCCTAATATGGGAAACAACACAACCAATACAGGAGTCTTTGTTCGCTGGCCAGCCATAAGCCGCTGCGTGGATTCGCATGGTTAATATTCCTTGACGAGATCAGCAAGGTAATGTGGTTCATATGTGGCAAGCACTTTGTGTGCAATGAGTGCAAACCTATAACGTATTCGTTCAGCAAATGGAAGCCAATGCAGCTCAGCGAGCATCGGACGGACGCGGACGGATCTTGTAGTAAGAGATCATTAACGGATCTTGCAGTTAACAGCGGTGCCGATAAGCACAGCCCCCACAAAACAGGCACCTGGCCCATTTAATACATGACGTTAACATGTTTAATCACAAGCAGTTCCATTCAGCAAAGCATAATTAATGAAGAAGCGCGTTTCCTCAGAGCCGTTAATAATGTTTCGCTGTGCCTAAAACACCTATGATCAGCACAGTTGGCTACGTACGGTGCAACAGAAGTTCAACATACATGCATACGTGGCACAACGCTGCATTGGGATCAAGAGTGAAAAATGGCAAATGTGTGCGTCCTGTAATCATGACCTGGTGGTTTGAACTGCCAGAACGTCAGCATATGCGGATCACTACCATAGAAGTGGGCTTTTACCAATACGATAAGGGGTGCTGCGGTGGCTAGATGTTCACTACCTCGCCTGGTATACAGGAGGTCGTGGGTTCGATCCCGACCCTGACACCTGCTGCTGTATATTTGGAGTTTGCGTGTATCTCTCTCATCATCATCACGGTGGCTAGGAGACGTTAACTACCCCGCCTGGTATACAGGAGGTCGTGGGTTCGATTCCGACCCTGACGCTTGCTGCTGTATATTTGTAGTTTGCGTGTATCTCTTTCCCCGTGGTCACATATTTTTCCGGGTCCTCCAGTCTTTCCCTCCACATTTAGAAACGCGTTTAGAGTATTCGGCTGCTATATACTTTCACATGACAAGCCACTTCATTGAGCTATGATTTGTGTCTAAGTCGCTTCAGTGGGCTTTACCCAGTAAAATAAAAACATTGTTTAGTTTCTAGTTTATGTTGGTCCCGTTGTTTCAATGGGTACAGCCCGAGACAGCGTTACTATTCTACATGCTCTTCAAACCACAGCGTCTCAACAGCGCTGCACATCTGGAAATGCACATCTAGAAAAAAGTTACGAGCATGTGTTTGCAAGTAAAAAAAAAATCTAAATTGTACATTTGCTTTGACAAAAGTGGCTTACAGGATGACACGTGAAACACACAGATGCACACAGACACACCAAGAAACTCCACCGCACCAACACCGGCGGTTTCGCCCAACCGCAATTGACGCTCGCACGGCAAGTCGCAAATGGTCGCCAGGGAACAGGGCTGGGAAAGTGCGATGGTCGAGCACGGGCGGCGCATGCCAGAAAGCGTGCTGTCACGCAGGTGTGAAATGACGCGCATGCACACACACACACATGCACGCACACACACACACACGCACGCATGCACACACACACGCACGCATGCACGCACGCACGCATGCACTATGAGGAAGTCACTGGGAGCTCTGCACTCTTAAATAACGTAGATTGAAAACTCATTTGATTTAGAACTGCTTTTTGTGCTTAGTTGGTTGTTCTTCCCCCGCAGGTCCAATTAGCACGGTTGGCTACGTACGGTGCGAAAGAAGTCCAGCGTACGTACGTGCATGCACGGCGCGTAGTGGACAGCCGCGACACGTTTGGGAAGGCGGTTTTAACTATTTGAACTATTTTTTTATTTTACCAGGTAAAGCCCACTGAGGTCTACAGCTCTTTTTCATAGGTGACCTGGCCACGAATGACAGCTCAACAAAGTGAAATTTATAGCAGTCAAATACGCTAAACGCATGTTGATTCTAAATGTGAAGGGAAACCCTGGAGGACCCGGAGGAAAAAGCATACGTGACTACGGGGAAAGAGATACACGCAAACTCCAAATACACAGCAGGCGTCAAGGTCAGGATCGAACCCACGACGACCTCCTGTATACCAGGTGAGGTAGTCAACATCTCGCCACCGCGGTTTACAGATAAGGAGCACCCGCGTCGGCCGGAGGTGAAACGGGCACCACATTGCGGACAGGGCAAGTGGGCACCACCACAGGAGGAGGAGGAGGCACGCGAGAGAGCGAGCGCGCGCATGGTGGGGTTTTGACAAATGATATTCGAGTGAGGCAGTCAAAATCGGATGACGATTTCAACTTATGGCCTAGTGGGAATATAACCATAGGGAAAGGTCACATGCATCACAAATGGAGATTTGTTTTTTAAAGGATTTTGACCAGACTTTAAATATGTTGAAAGCAGAAAGAGTTAAGTTTCAACTTGATCCAAAAATAAAACAATTAGATCAGATTTTTCGAATTGACAAAAAGTCGACAGGGACTGGTTTGAATCAGAAAGGGAACGGTTTAAGGGGAGTTCACATTCGGTTTGTAGCGCCAAATGCTAAGGTTCACTGCGTGCGTTACATCTGTTTTGTCAAAATCCGATTCCCCGGGTTCTATTGCCGGGATGATGAGATTTGTTTTGTAGGATTCCGTGAATGCAACGTGCAGAATCTGAAATGCAGACGACATATTGTTCGTTCCCAAATGCCTGGGCTTGAAAGGTCATCACAGCTGGCGCACGGGCGCACTGGTAAACGATGCCGAGTCCAAGTGACGCCTTCCTCAAACGAGCACCGGTGAGACGTTAACTACCTCGCCTGGTGTACAGGAGGTCGTGGGTTCGATTCTGACCCTGAAGGCTGCTGCTGTATATTTGGAGTTTGCGGTGTCTCTCTCCCCCGTGGCCACGTGGATTTTTCTCCGGGTTCTCCGCTTTTACCGTCCACATTTATAATCAACATCACGCATTTATTAGAGTATGCGGCTGCTGTCAGTTTCCACGCGATGATAAGCCACTTGTTTGCGCTTTCATTTGTGATAGCCAGGTCGCTTCTGAAAAAATTGTTTCATAGTTTAGTTTTTTTCGCCTGGTGCCGGGCGGTGGAAAGTTTCCGTGGACTTCCACTGCCGCTGGGCCACGGCGCATGCGGAAGCGCGACCGTGAATTTCCGGCGCAGCAGCAGCAGCAAGCACACGGGGCAGGCGGCCTTCCAGGACGCGCGAGGCGCAGGCCGGCAAACAGGCTCACGCAGTGAGATGATTCAGAATGAGTCGGGTCGACGGTCAAAGGTTAGCGATGGGTGAGGTTATATGGGAGGGCGCGCGCTGGATGGAGGGGGGTGGATGGGGGGGCAGCTCACCTGACTGCAGGCGGTGGCACTCAAGATGGCTTTGTCCAGCTCTTGAGGCGGCAACTTTGTCAGAGAACGCTGCGGACAGCGGAGGGCACGCCGACGTTACGACCGCCGACGGCTTTTGCCTCCGGCCCACCACCTTTTTAGAAATGCCTCTTTGGAACTGGCTTTTTTTCTTGTTTTAGTTTGTTCTTGTCCTCTTTCCCCCCCCGCACCTCCCGATTTAGTCATGGTTGGCTACGTAACGGCGGTGCGGAGAGAAGTTCAACATTCGTGCGTACTTTGTGTTAATGCTCTCAGGTCACCGTAAACGCGAACGCCTACCCACCTCAGTGCATGTCATTTGAGTAAGTGTGCCACTTTCTTTAGCACAAATATTCCACCGTGGTTTAAAGTAGCAGGTGAATAACAGAACACCCATCGCACGTCACTCATTGATCCTCAGGGAAACCCACTTTGGTGTCTCCGTGCTGCGATTCTCGGCGAGAGCATCTCGGTGAGAGAATCGCAGCGAAGCTCAAACGACCGTCAGCATTCAAGTAAAATCCGCATCTCCAAGAAACTAGAACGGTTCCACAAACAGGAAATGAACGACACCTAAAACAATTTGCAACGAAGCTAAAACACCGGGGGGGGGGGGGGCTCTCATTTAAACCGAAGCAGCCTCTGAGCCGCTGAACCTTATTCGTGAAAAAAAACGTGACGTTAAAAATACTATTATTTCGCTTTCCTGCATTCTAGATCATTACATCAACTGCAACACTTGTGCAAATACCATCATCAGATAAACACTGGAGCTGAGGATCAGATACGTTGCACACGTGCTAACCACTACACTACCGCTGTTCTGGCAGCCTCGCCCGCATTTCGTGCCCTCAGCCGAAGCCTCCACCGGCCGCCATCCCCCTTGAGCGGGGGCGGTGGGGGTCAGAGGGTTCAGAACGCTGGGTGCTTTTGTTTTCAGGTTCAACAATTCCTAAAACTAAACTATAAAAAACTTTTATTTTTACAGGTAAGGCCCACTGGCCAGGTCGCTTCTTTTTCAGAAGGAACCTGGCCACAAATGACAGCCCAAAGAAGTGGCTTACCATGTGGAACTTTATAGCAGCCGAACACTCTAAACGCACTTTGATTCTAAACGTGGAGAGAAAAACCAGAGGACCTGGAGAAAAATCCACGCGACCACGGGGAAAGAGAGAGAGAGAGAGACACGCAAACTCCAAAGATACGGCAGGCGTCAGGGTCGGCATCGAACCCACGACCTCCTGTATACTAGGCGAGGGAGCTAACATCTCGCCACCGTGGCGCTCGCCGCTCGGGACATGAAATGCGCCACCAGCACCACAGTTGGAGGGGGAGGTCGGGGCAAGAGCGATAAGCAGAGATCCACAATTTCTTCAGGATTCATCCTTTTTTGTTGCCGTCAGATGAGTCATCGAGAGAAGAAGGGCTCCTTAGTCAGGCGATGGGGGGGGGGGGAATAACAACTCTTCAGGAGATTTGAAGAGATTCAAAGAGAAAACAATCCGCGTGCTTAAAACTGAAACTGCCGTTGAGGAAGAAGACGCAAAAAGGACGAAGGACGACCGTGAAAAAGAGCATTACAGCTCATCAGATACCTCCAGTATAAATACATATTTCATTCCGAAAAGGATTTAAAGGGCTAAGATTAACAGGAATGACATTTTGGTATTTTCCTCCGTCACTTCAGTTACCTGCCCACATAGCTCCCCAACACCTCCCCTCAGCATCCCTCTTCCAGTGACAACAAAGTCATTACACAACCATCATCTAACAACGTGAACAATATCTTCCCCCATCCATCGTTCTGGAGTAACGTCACTAGCAGGAGGGGTTGAGGCCGTAAAAACATCAACCATTCAACGCGACTCGCGCTAAGGGCCAATGAACCAGAGTTAATTCATTCCAGGAGTTTCTGTGCTTGAGGCTGCAAATCAATCACCCAAGGGTGGTGGCAACGAGCCGTCCCCTATCGAACCACATATTTAACTAATTGCTTACTCCGAGAGACTGGCAATAACATGATTATGTCTGCATGTAAGTTTAACTTTTTTCACGCCGTACGTAGCCAAGCGTGCGCATCAGAAGTGCGGGGGAAGGAGAACAAACTAAACACAAAAAACAGTTCTAAAGAAATTAGTTTTCAATCTACTACACAATCACTACACACTCACTACTACACACTCGCTTATGTATGTTGAAATTCTTTTGCACCGGACGCAGCCAACCGTGCTAATCGGAGGTGCGGGTTGAAGGCCAACAAACTTAACACAACAAGCAGTTCTAAAGAACTGAGTTTTCAATCTAGATTTAAAAGTGCATAACTCCCAGTGGCTTAAAATCCACGCGATGATACGCCACTTCGTTAGGCAATCATTTGAGGCCAGAGCTGGAAAACTCAGTGAGCCTTACCTGGTAAAATAACAACAATTTAGTTTTCATTCCAAGATCAACTCTGGATAAAAGTCGATCGAGTTCCTGCCCCCCAAGATAAAATAAGCATTGGTTGCCTATCTTCATTGATGGCCCCTAAGCCAGCAGTGGAAACTCCACATTCCCTGTGGCTGAGGCCCACTCTCAATCGAACAACCACTAAATTTTTCACGAAAGCAAAACCCATGTTATATACTGCAGAGAGATTTGCCAAGTCCACATCCTCCCAGAATATGAAGCCCGCAACATTCTAATTGTGGGCCAAGGGGGTAGAGCTACCAAGATCTCATGCTCAAAATAGGCATTAGTTCACAATTGAGTAACTAACTCCAATGATTGGTCGTTAAATGTGTGCATTCCAAGAGGCCATCCAGAGGTAGCGGGCTCTTTACATGTCACCACCTTGGTCTTCGTCGGTAGTATTAATCGAGTTGTCCTGCCAATGGCTGATGCATACAGGAGACTGGGGTGAAGGAGTGATGGCAATACTCTTTGGTTCTATTCGGTAAAGTCACGTAGGTAAAAAAATAAAACAACAATTTTATTTTTCGATTTAAAGCTTTCGTGACTGCAAGGATTCATCTTCTTTGTTTTTTTCGGTAAAGTCACGTAGAATGAGAATAAAATAATAAGATAACACAATAAAATTTTCACGACGTTTCGGCCACAACGCAAGCGGCTGTCTTCGAATGAAGCTCTGTCGTCCCGACATTTCTGTACCTTTCACCTGAAGACGGCCGCTTGCGTTGTGGCCGAAACGTCGTGAGAATTTTATTGTGTTATTTCATTATTTTATTCTCATTCTACGTGACTTTACCGAAAGAACTAAAAGAAGAACAATTTTATTGTTGTTTTATTTTACCTACGTGACTTGACCGAATAGAACCAAAGAGTATTGATCCTTGCAGTCACGAAAGCTTCAAATCTAGAAGTGATGGCAATGTTCAATACAGGAACCGCTCCCCCTTCTTGAATGGCGTGATGAGACCCACGCATGGCATCAGTGGTCACAGGCCAGCCTGGGCTGGCATGCTCCAGCGCCAGTGCTCGGACGCAGCAGAGGGTTTCACTGGAGCCTGGGCAGGTGAGCTGCCTCAAACTACGTGTGTGGAACTTCTGTCGGACCGTACGTAGCCAACCGTGCTAATCGGAGGTGCAGTATTCTGATCTCAGGGCACTGCCTCCAATATTAATTCACGAGTTACGATTATTTTTCAGACTCGTGGGGCTATTATTATAAAGCACCACAGACCGTGGTGACACATAGCACAATCGCACCGATCGTAAAAGTATAGCATTTTTATTATCATTTTGCACACTCCCTTGACAGAACGAACAGAAATATCATAAAAAGCACACACGTGGCCCAATGTCATAACAGGTACAACTCAAAATAATGTGTTCCTAAACACACGTTTGTTTTAACTTTATTGCAAAACATTTAATGTCGAGTATTTAAATGTGTCTCACTTAACCTACGAGTTCCAGGCACTGGATTCAATAAATTTTATGCACCGCTCAAATATATAACTGCAGGTGTCGTAGGTCCAGCGCCTGGTCGAGTTACCACATGAACTAGATTTTCGTACTTACGTAAAATTAGTTTTTTTTTAGATAGGTGGTCACCAACACGCTCCAGCTGACGTAACTCAAACTCTGTCTCTATACCGGCGGTGGCGGACAGAGTTCGACTCTTGTCTGAGTCGCAGCGTGTGGGCGACCACCAAGTGAATTAAAAACCCGATCGATCGACATGAGGGCAGTTACTTGGCAGAGTGGGGAGAGCGTGGTGCTGCCCATCGCAAGAGAAATCACGGCTCGAGACCACCGCTGCTCGCCCTGGTTAACACCACGCGCCGTCTGCGTCGCAGCGGATGATCAATTGCGCACACGTAACCATCGAACAAAGACGGTTTACCGCACTGCACGGGCTCTCAGATACGCTTCTGCGGCCGTCTGGAATGCTCTTCCTTCCGATATTAGGAAGTCACTGGGAGCTGTGTGCTTTTAAATCGTCTAGAGTGACAAACTAGTTTCTGGATTCAATCGGGAGGTGCGGGGGAAGGACAACAAACTAAACACAAAAAGCGGTTCTACAAAAACTCGTTTCTGTAGAACCGCTTTTTGTGTTTAGTTTCTGTAGAACCGCTTTTTGTGTTTAGTTTGTTGTCCTTCCCCCACACCTCCCGATGAACACGTTGGCTACGTACGGTGCGAAAGTGGTTCAACATTTTTACATACACAGCATGGGGATTGTAATCCCTAGATCCTGCAGATGCGCATCGACATAACTTTAGACTCGAGTGCCCGTGGGCCATTTTCTGCCAACTAAAGCATTACCGAAATTGTATTACCCGTTTTAGTTTCAAAATTACACATCTCAACCGTGTTATCAATGGACAATTGCTCGGTCGCAACAATGGCATATAGATTTCAGCGGTATTCGATGTATTTTGAAGATATAATCATTCCTTTTATGTAGCGCTGTTCATCAAGGATCTCAAAGCGCTGTACAAGACAGAGCAGGAGCAAACACTCAGCATAAAAATAATTATATTAGAAATATAATTTAAGAATCCGTTGACTAAATAAACTAAAATATGAATAAGCGGAAGCGTGTA